CAGGGGGTTGTCGGGCGTGGAAGGTGCGCGCGCACAGTGTTTTGCTCAATCGATCTGATGCAACTTCAATGTCAAGGTCAAACATGGCCAAGGTTGTATGAAATACTCTCCCCCTCGCCCCCCTTCCCCCTCGTCCCCTCCCCCTCCAGCGGACCGCGAGCCCTGCACTGCGGCCCCTCGCGTCGCGCGCCCAAGTTCAGACCTGTCTCGCTTCAGCACGGACCTCGCCGTTCCTTCCCGCTCCGTTCCTCGTGGCCCGTCACTTAGGCCAGTCTCGCCGAGTCCTTCGCGCTTTCGCCGTCATCTCGTGTGTGCTCCCCGAAATATCCTGGATTACTCTCCTGTCACCGCCAGGTATGATCATCTCCACTTATTTTTCCGCGTCTTAAACCCACGAGACGTAAAATTCCCGGTCCACCTGCTTCCCAGCCGTCAGCTGGTTGTCCGGCCCCTTTTTTCCGCGTGGGGGGAGGGGGGAGGCCTGTTGATGAGTTTTTCACTTTCCTTTGGATGTTAACGTTGATGAAGGACAAGGTCGATTGAGAGATACTTAACGCATTGCACTAGTGAAATTAAAAGCCGGCCGCGTCTTGGCTGCTTATCGTGCGTCCGTTTCGCTTTCTTGGAAAAATCATTTTGCCAGGATCTCAAAAATGGATGCCAGGATTTTCTAAAATGAATTGCGAACCGACTTGAAATAAAATTGGAAGTTAGGACCTTTCGAATTTTGCTTAACGGTTAGGCAATCTGTTCCTGATAGCAAACGTGAGTGAAAACGATTATTCAAGATGGACGCGTTTGTTCGGTGCGATTTCGCAACATTACTCTCTCACGCGGGCAGCTGCCGTTCTTTCCCGTACCTCTTAATTTTTTATCCGGTTTTGGGAAGTGATAAGACGAAGAATTCTCGCTGTAATGTGCTGTCTATTTAAGGAAGGAATAGAGCTATCGTAGGTGAACAATTTTTAAATTGCCTTTTCTACACTAATTCATGTAAAAATTAACTCGTGGCTAATCCATAATGTGTATTTGTATCTCATTAGACGGTATTGGGGGTAGGTAATTAGGTATGGCAGTATTTGGCAACATTGCTACTCAATTGTCTTTAATGAAGTTTTTTATTTTATGACTTTCTTGTCGTTATTTATTTCTTAGATGCACCTAATTTTTTTTCATCTCCCGAACTTGGGCTTTTACTGAACTCTAATTTCAGTGAAAATAGTACTTCATACTAACGTAGAAAACTGTAAATCGCTTTTTCACAATCCCCAGATTTCTCTTTTTCCCTTCCATTAAACTGTGGATAATTTCTAGGATTCATTTAGCCGTCATTAAGTTACATACTGAGGATGGAACGCTCTCTACTTAACTGCTGTACTTAGCGTGTACGTGTGGAAAAAAATATTGAGGAATTTTGAAGAAAAATTAAGGAGGTTCCCCCCTCCCCCCCCCCGGTTAAAAAAAACTAATCCTTTTGAGGCTGCTGATCACGAGATTTCCCGAAGATCTGGTAGACTGTTCTTGTATGCTTTCTTGGAGTGAGCATTTCAAAACACCGCAATCGAGTATGCAAGGGTTGATAGCCAAAGGGGCTAATTGAGACAAATTGGATAGTTGCCCATGAAAAGTGGTAACTTTCATCTAGAAGTGTGTCGTGGGTTAGCCCCGTGATTCGACGAGAAGTACTTACCAGAAATTTCCGCTGTACAACATGTACCCTTATCAATGAATTTACTTAGAAGTAAGACGTCTGATGAAACTTGGAAATTTGGCAATGTAATTCAACCCCTCTGTTTCTCAACCCTTCAGTGTAGTGACAGTCTGCCTCCACCATCGGAATCCAGAACTTCTGCACAGTGTTGTCTGCCGTCATGCTAGTACGAGACAATAATCGGACCGCGTTTAGCAGGAAGGAACCAAGCCACATCAGCTTTTGCTAAAAACTGGGCAATTTAATTTTTTGCAAGAGAACGTATGTGCGAATTCCTTTGGAAATTTCGAGGAATTTACTTCGCACTGTGCAGAAAATATACTGAATTTTGCAAACAAATCCGCCCAACTGTTTTCATGTAAAACATTAAATTGCCCAATTAAATTTGGCAATAGCGGATGTGACTTGGTTCCTTTCTGCTTATAATAACGCGGTCTAATTAGAGGTTCCGCCTCACAAGCATTCGATTAGGATAGGCACGTAATGAGAGTAATTGCCCTCTCCTTGATATAATCAAATTTTATCGAGAATTTCCTCTGACGAGTACAGAATTTTGTTTCGTTTTTTCGTGTCTACGCTAGAAGGTAGTATGCCTCTCCTGTATTTGAATAGAAATGTTAAAACTTCCAAACTTTCAGCGTCCCTTCTATGAAAGCAACTGTGTTCACTTATTCCCTCATCTACACTCGGTGTCTGCTCCACCACCGTCAGTTCTCATAAACCACACGTGTCTCGTTGCGGAAAATTTCTTGACTCATTGAAATTCGCGAGATAGCGAGCGCGACCGGGCAGATAAACATTAAAAGCGGATTAACACACTACTGCCGCGCTAAGCGAACGCCGCACATTTACATACGAATCTGGTGGAAGTTGTGTGCTTTCTGAACAGCAGGGTAGACTATCAGCCCATTATACAACAGCGCTATTAGAATAATTTAATTTCATACTGTTCTGCACGTTGAGTTGTTCAGCGTGTAGTTCCCGTGTTGTCAGATCGTCGGATTGATTCGTAACTGGAATTTTTTTTACCTCCGGTCGCCAAGTTTCAAAACTTCGCTCGTTTTTTATCCCTTTACGTAAGTTAATCAACAGTTTTCTTGAAATTTTCCGTGAGTGTCTTTTACTCTTTCCCGAGTATTCATAGACAGACATTTTCAAAGCGATGATTTTCGTTAGGTTTTGATTTTAAAAGTAAAACCACATCTGTTTTCTGTACATACACGTTTTTTCGCTTTCAGTGATCGGTGAACTTCAGATGTAGGTATACGATATTTCACGATGATACCACTATTCGAACTCGTGAGAGCCCATGTTGCTTACACTAACAGTTGAAGGTGAACTGACATGCGGCGTTTAAGTCACCGCCTCTCGTCCGGTACAAAAACCTTTTGTGTGCGTATTCTGAGTGAGCGTGCCATTTTACGATGATACCACTATTCGACCACGTGGGAACGAATGTTGCCTACACGAACAGTTGAAGGCGAACTGCCATGCGGCGTTCAAGTCACCGTCTCTCGTCCGGTAAAAAACCTTTTTTGTGCGCATTCTGAGGGATCATGCCATTTCACGATGATACCACTATTCGACCACGTGAGAGCCCATGCTGCCTACACTAACAGTTGAAGGCGAACTGATACGGCGTTAAAGTCACCGCTTCTCGCCCGGTGAAAAGTCATTCTTGTGCGTATTCTGAGTGAGCGTGCCATTTCACGATGATACCACTATTCGACCTCGTGAGAGCCCGTTTTGCCTACACTTAAAGTTGAAGGCGAACTGACACGGCGTTAAAGTCACCGCTTCTCGCCTGGTAGAAAACTATTTTTTGTACGTATTCAAAGTGAGCGTGTCATTTCTCGATGATACCTGTACCTATTCGACCACGTGGGGCCCATTTCTCCTACGCGAGCATTCGGAGAATGCCAGTCATTTTCTTCAGCATTCATTTCTAGTGTATTTTATTCTAGTGTATTTTCCGAGAAAAATACACCATTTTCTCACTTGTATTTTTCACAACACTACTCTTCAACTATATTTTCCCTTGAATACACATATTCACCGATTTATCAGTTCAAATATTCGTTTTTCCGATCATATTTGAATTTGATTGTTTAAATTGAATTGAATTTTTTACCGCGCCAAATGAAGTTCATAGGTATAAATGTAAGCTTTTTTTAATTTTATTTTAGAATTATATGGGGTTTCGTTACCAGCGTTGCGATCGCGCTATAAGGGGTAGGTGGGTGTCGAATAATCGAAAAAATTATGTTACGTAAGCCAGGGCACCCTTTTTTTGTGTTTCTGATTCTTCGTTCCAGATTCCCACGTGTCATATTTCAGTGTCCTAATTTCATAACTCGAACTGTCTCAGCCCCCTTAAAATTTTCCCACAATTTTGATTTGGCAGCGCCGCACCATCTGTCTGCCTTCTGCCCGGTGCCGGGTGCCTACGTATTCAATTAATTCGCAAGGTCACTTTTGACTTCCAAAACTTAATTAGTTCCAACTTTCATGTCGCACGGAAGACGAAGCAGTTGATTCAACATAACCGAATCATCCGCTGATGTATCCCTAGAGTTAGGATTTTAAAGACTTACAATTAGTTGGATCGCATTTAGCAAAAAGGAACCAACGCGATTACAGTGTTGTAAAATTGTTGCTTCTTCACAATTATCTAAAAAATCTCCCTGAAAAGCAAATAGCTTTTACTTCCCACCAAAAAACTGTAAATTTTAGTGGAAAATAATTGTGTAAAGTTTAATATTGTACATGTATTCAGTATTTTAAAAGAGAAATAGGAGTTGCTATATTTTGAAAACACCGTACCTAATGCAACAAAACCAGGATGCGAGAAACAGCGTCTAATAGTTACACAATAAACAAAACGTCTTGGTCGACCACCGCCATTCTCAAGCGGGAAAAAATCAACGGAACGTAAGATATCAAAATTTCAAGAAATTGAAAATTATTTTCTCTGATTCCTGATCATAAATGAATCTTGAACGATTTTTATATTTTGCATTTGGCTGAATTTTTTTCAGATTGAGGACATTCGACTTGTATGCCATGAAGTTTTGATCCAGTGTATTTCCATTCTAGCCTTGTTGTGTTTTTTGGTTTTATTTTTTGTTTTTCACGGGCTACCAGCTCATTATTTTCTCTCGTCACAATCAGTGTAGGTATAGACTGTACGAGCATTTTGTCTACAGTGAGTCATTTTTTCGAGTCAAAGTGAGCAGTTTTTCCCCCCTGCCGATTATCAGTGCCGCAAACCCAACGTCACAACGTGGCTGGCCTCGTGTTGAGGAGTGTGTTGAAGTTTTTTTTATCTGAGTATTCAACATTTGTTTGCATTTGAATTGCGCGTCCAGTACACTTTCGCCACGTGTGCTTTTCAGAGCTTTCCTGGTATTTACATACTTTCCTCCTCTCCTCTCTCTATCCCGCCAAGTAATATCTGCAGTTTTTTATTTTTGGAGTTTTGACTGTTCAACTTGACTCCCGACAGTTTCCTCGCTCCGTAGCTATGGGAGCAACTCTACCGTGCTACGGAAAAACGCCGTATGAGCCTTCGGACGTTGTCAAATTTCCTTTGAAAAATCGCTAATTGTCAGGAATATTTGCGAATTTTTTTTCTCCCAACTTC